TCTAATTTCAATGGGAATGCTTCCAGTTTTTCTCCATTTAGAATGATATTGTCTGTGGGTTTGTTATATATAGCTTTAATTATGTTGAGTTATGTTCCCTCCAGTCCAATTCCCTCTAGGACTTTGAACATAAATGCATGCAGAATTTTGTCAAAAGCTTTTTCTACATCTATTGAAATGATAATGTGGTTTTTGTCTTTGAGTCCATTTATATGATTAATGATGTTTATTGACTTGCATATATTGAACCATCCCTGTATCTCTGGGATAAAGCCTACTTGATCATGGTGGATGATCTTTTTGATGTGTGTCTGTATGTAGTTTGTGAACTTACATCTACTCTTTAGTCCCCTCACAGAACAATAATTGACATTTTAAATTACTATTAATTATCGGGTGTGGCCTCTTGTAGGCTGTCCATGTGCTACTGGATGGCCTGACACCACTCTAACTGGAATCAGTGCAATGTAAACAGAAAAAAAGAAGAGGGTGTGGAATTGGGAAGGGGGATGGGATTTGGGAAAGGTTGGAGGAGGGTGAGGGTTGGTGGGGATGGTTAAAATACATTGTATACATGTATGAAAGTCTAAAGGAATAAATAAAACCAAATGGAAAATAATCCCATTTGAAAAGCAACTGATTACGCTGGATGTGGTAGCACACCCCTTTAATCCCAGCACTCAGGAGGCAGAGGCAGGCGGATCTCTGTGAGTTCAAGGCCAGCCTGAAAGCAACTGATTCTACTAATGGCTAAAATGAAAAACACAACACCAAAAGTTAGCAAGAATGCACAGCAATTAGAATTCTAATGCATCATGGGTAGGGATGCAAAAAGGTGCAACACTGGAAAGCTGTTGGGAGAAATCTTACAAAGTTAAGCATACAGCAAACAACCTCAGTAAGTGTCAGTAGGGCTGAAGTTGAGAAGCTGGTCTACTCGGTGACCTAGCTTCTCCTCCACACCCACAGCATTTACCCAAGAGTAATAAAAACATGCTCTTACAAAAATATTAGAATGTTTCATAATTTCCCCCATGCTGGAAACAAAATCAGGAATCAGTTAGAGAAAGGATAAAGTCAACCCATATAATCACATACCACTTTGCAATACAAAATAACAAACTATAGAGAGGTAAGATGACACGCAGGAATACATTTTAAATATTAAATCAAATAGGAAAGTGCTGGGAGCACAACAGTTACAAAGTATGACTAGATTTATGTGCAATTGTGGAACGGCAGAACTAAGCTATGATGCTAGAATATAAACCAATGGTTGCTTTATGAAGGGTGGAAGACTAGGCAGGAGCTGGAGAGAACTTTTCTGAAATATTCAATAGACATTTTCCTACTCCGTAAGAGGGAATTCATGCCTGATGCTATAAGCATGGTCAAAAGCCATCTCTAGGGAAGTCACAGGACCTAGGGGAGTGCTTCCTGATGTTTTTCAGTCTTCTATATATTTGTGGTTTTGTCCATAGGTTTGTGCTTCTCCAAACCTTGGTCTGAGAAGCTTCTTAACACACTGCACAGCGGTTAATGTAGAGACTCATTACTGTTTAAAGTGCTGAAGCAGCTGTGAGATGGGACATCTATATTAGCCCTCCTCCAAGGCTCAGAGAGCATCATGGATGATGTGGAAAGAATCTAAGAGCCAGAGGATGTGGAGGAGTGCTGTGAAATACTGTCCTACGGACATGACGTGGCTGTTGCACATATGAACACACAGCAGCTACCTGCTCAAGGCCTGTGCAAGATTCAAGCCTGTTAAAAATTCCAGTATGGAGCAGGGAGGGACTCCTGAGGCCCTACCCCCGGCTGAGATGCTATTGGCAATTGGTCGGGAAGGAGAGTCACTGTTCTTTGGTGGTGGCTCCATTTCCCAGGGGATGACCTCATGTCCATGGCATATGACAGAATGATTGGACTCAGTGGGTTAAAAAAATAAATAAAAAGGAGGACATGATGTTGGAAGGTGTGACAGGGGTCCTGGGAGAACTTGGAAGGGGTAGTGAGGGTGGACATGACCAAGATACATTGTACTTTTCAAAGAATAAAATATGAACTTTTCAAAGAATAAAATTGAAAAAACCTTTAAAAAAATTACTTGAACAATATTCATGACTGAACATCTCACTATTTAAAAGATAGAAATATAAAGAAAAATGTACAATTGTTGCTTATATTAAGTGCTAAAATGAGTGCTAAGGAGATGGTTTAACTGGTAAAGTGTTTGCCCTGTATTTTATTTTATATGTATGAGTGCTTTGCGTACATATATGTAAGCATACCATGTGCGTGCAATGCCTGAAGAGGTCTGAACAGGGCGTCATCGGATCCCCTGGAATTGGAGTTAAGATTGTTAGCACCTGGGTCCTCTGCAAGAGCAGCCAGGGCTCTTAACATTCTCTCTTGGTTTTTTAATTTTTATTTTTTACTGCTATTGGTTTCACTATGTAGCCCTGACTGGCCTTGCTCTCACAGAAATCCATTTGCCTCTGCCCCTCAAGTGCTGGGATTAAAGGTGTTGGCCACCACATCCGGCTTGAGATTTCTCTTCTTCATCGGCTTATAAATAAATATATGTGTAGACGTTATTTACAGGTAATAGTCTCTCGCAGTTGTCCTAGTTTCGCTTTGATTTAGGTTATCTTTTGAGCTGGTTTTAATCCAGTCTATACCAGGAAGTAGCCTCAATTGGGCAGGGTAACACCTTTGGGTCCTGGGTCTGGTGGGCGGAATTACGTGTGGCACCGCCCACGGGGGGGCGGGGGGGAGACGCACTCCACCTGCGCGCGCAGCTTCTGTTGCCATGGCGGGAGGTTGGCGTTTCCCAGTTCAGGGCCTCAGTGCCTGAAGAGTTGCCGACGTGGGTAAGGTCGAGGTGCGTAACGCCGGCGCCGCCAGGAGTGCGCGTGCGCAGTGTGGCCGTGGCGGGATTGGCGCGTGGCCTGGAGGCCTGTGGCGAGAGCGTGGGTCGGGCCGTGTTCTCGGCGCTCCTCCTCCCCTGGGTGGCGGCGCAGGCGGAGAGAGACCAGACCCCGGAAGCTGATCCCGGGAGCGGAAGTGGAGGGTGGCTCCCCAAGCTGTGGAGCGCGGGTGAAGGGCAGCGCGTCCACCGTGCGGCCGGGATGGGCATGAGCGAAGGTAATTCGGCCGGGCCCGCAGGGGTGCCAGAGCCCGGCACCGTGCGCTGCACCCCAGTCCTGGGCCGCCGGAGCAGGCGAGCCCGGGGCACAGTGCTCTCATGGTCCAGGAGTTGGCGGGAATCCGTGGGAAGCTCCTTGGTGGTAATTGGAGAAGAACGCTGTTGAGTACTTAGAGGGTTTGGTGCTGGGCTCAGTACTCTTCCCTTTGTGGCTTTGAGCAGGAAGCTTACCTGCCTTCTTCCTGGAGTCTGCAAGAGAAGAAAGGTGATACTCAGCCACCCCCAGAGTTATGATGCCACCAAGCTCTGGAGTGCTTAATGAAAGGGACGGATGAACACATCCTGGAAAGTTCCCGTGCCCTCTGGGAACGACGTGGTTTTTCAGTCTTTACATTTTAGTCGTGCATGGGCGTGCTGGAGTGAAGTTGAAATGCATTCTTTTGCCTTGTTCGGAACGCGATCGGAGATGTGCCTTTTGTGCGAAGTGTGATGTCCATTGTTTTATTCGGTTCATACTTGTTGAGTGCTTCGCAGTCCACTAGCTGCTGTTGCAACCTCTTTGGGGTGATACATAAGCAAATGCAGAGTCCTGTCCCAGGGAGCTTACATTCTAGTTTGGGGAACAGTAAACAAGGAATAAATAAATGGTAAGTTAGGAGGAAACGAATGCCATGCAAAAGGAGAAAGCAAGGTAAGGGGCATTGGGAGCCCAAGCAAGGTACAATTTTAAAATAAGTATGTCGAGGTAGACGTCTCAGTAAATTACCTTTGAAAATACCGGAGGGAACTGAGGGAGTTTGCTGTGCAAATACTTGGCACGGCTCAGTTAGACGAATTGCAAAGTTCAGTTTGGAATGTGGGACTCCAGTGAACAGGAAGGCTTGTGTCGTTGGAGTGGAATGAGTAAGGGACAGTAAGATTAGGAATTAGGTGTCTGTGCTTCTGAAGTACACCCAGGGACAGTGGCATGTTTGAATCTGTTGAGTTGTTTGCCTGTAAAGGTAATTATTTAATTTAGGTAAGATTTCACAGCTTAACCACAGCCACTAATTAGTATCTGAAGTTAATGAGTAAAACTACTTTTTCCAAAATAGAATCTGCTTGAGACCTAAACATAGCTTCAGCTTTCAGTAAACACAGTGTGAATCAAGGCAGAAGAGCTGGTGATGAACTTTTTTTTGCTGCTGTTTAGGATTTTAGCCCATGCAGAGATCTTTTTGTCTTCCTTTAGAAATTTTTCTAAATACAGTTTCTAAAAGTTAAAAGAAATTGACCTAAGGCAGGGTGTGATAGCACATGCCTTTAATCCCAGCACTCTGGAGGCAGAGGCAAGTGGATATCTGAGTTCAAGGCCAGCCTGGTCTGCATAGTGAGTTCCAGGCCAGCTGGGGCTACAGGGAGAACTGTTTCAAAAAGACCAAAAAAAAAAAGAGATTGACCCAAAGTAAGACAAAGCTGTTGATGAATATTTGTGACTATTAACCTCTGTTTACATGTAACTTGTAAATAGCTTGTGGCAAACAAAATGACTAAGAAGATAACGTACTTTAAGGAGCTTAATAGTAGCAGAGCAGATGAGTTTGTAAATCAGCATAAGAAAGGACAAAAAGCTTCCTAAAAGAACAACATGAAGTAAACTAATAGCCTGAGGCCACATGGATATTATCTGTATATGGTCATGGCTAGCCTTTATTTCTCATTTTGATCTTAAAATCTTTAAAAAATTATTTTGGGTTACCATTCAAAGAAGTGAGTTACTGTGATCACTTTTATCTTCATTTTCATCTTTTTGTGGCATGGTGATGTTGTTGTCAATTTTTTTATAGCTAACATTTAGATTTTTAAAAACTAGTTGTAGAATGCATGGAATATGCCAAGTAAGTGCAGAACTGATGAGCTGAAGCATCTGCTAAATTGAACTGACAGGTGCCAGATAATATCATTGCTCCATTGGTTGGAATTTAGAATTTTCCTAACACTGCCATTGAAGCACGTATCTTTCTCTTGTAGCCTTTCCTTCTCTATGAAATAGATGTTTTTGATTTCCTGGTCGTTAGGGTTTCTCTTTCTCTTTTTTTTTTTAAACTAAGAAAAGGTTTATTTTGGCTCACAGTTTCATAAGTTTTGGTTCATGGCCAGTTGACTAGTTCCCTTTGCCCCATGGTGAGGTAGGACATCATGGTGGAGGATGCAGGAAGGAAGAGGGCTATTCACCCCTGACTGCCAGATGCAAAAAGACAGCAAGAGCTGGGGTCCCAGTAGTCACTTTCAAGTCATACCCTCACTAACCTAACTTCCCTCCATTAGGCCCCACCTCTTAAAGGTTCCCCAAACTCCCAGCTAGCAGCATGAGCTGGGGATCAGATCTTTCATACACAGGTCTTTGGGAGACATTTCAGATCCAAACTATAGCAACAAGTGATAGTTGATGGCATATGTAGATGACAGCTGCCCCCCCCTCCCCCAAATATGTGTCTCAGTGCAATGTGGACAAAAGATGTAGAGCAACTTGTGTAGGTGGTAAGTAACTGATGACAGAGGGGCTTGATAGCCAGACCAGTCCAGCAAGAGATCCGCTTCTCAGGTGTAAGAGGTGTAAGAGATCCGCTTCTGGAAGGAAAGAGGGTTGTGAAGGAAATTAAACAATGTTCAAAGGCACTTGTGTCTTAGAGCTTATCATACTACTCTATTTGTTAGAATTTAGAGTTTTTCCAACACTGCTGTTAAGGCATGCATCTTTCTTTTTCTTAGGAATATTCTTTAGGTATATGTCAGTATATTTGATCAACCTCTAAAAAATGAAATGTCTTTTTTTTTATAAGAAAAAAAGTGGAATCCCAGAATATAAAGTAAATTTCCCAGAACATTGATAAAACTTTTTTTTTAAGTCAGTGATTTTTATTATCAGTTACATGCTTCATAGAAAGAGGGGTTGAGAAATGGGTCAGGGTAGTGAAAATAAATAGATTAATCCAGGTTTGTACACATCACTCTATTTACATGTGGCTGTGGGGATGTGCCCACATCAGGTGCAGGAGCTGCACTTGTCCAAGACCTCCTTGCAGACACAGCTCTGGGTGCACTTTGCACAGCCCACGGGGCATCAGGCACAGCAGCTCTTCTTGAAGGAGGTGCACCTGCACTCTGCACTTGCAGGAGCAGGATCCATCTGTGGCACAGGAACAGCTGGGGTCCATGGCGAGTCGAACAGGCTGTTGGAGTCGCTGGACAGCGGTAGGCAGATGTCGAATGAGGAGGCAGAGCTGGAGTTTGAACCCGGGTCTGTTGGCTTTCTAGGCCTTTGTTCGTCATTCCATGCTGCCTGCTTTATAACAGTGGCTGCGTTAGTCTTCACATTTTACTGGATTTGTTACATATGTGATCAGATTAACTCATGCTATTTCACTCATGAGTGCAGTTGACTCATGTAATTTTATGTTTTTTCTTCTAGATTTTAATTTGATTTGAAAATGAGTAAGCGCAGAAAAGCACCGGTTCAGCAGCTAACAAGTTCTGAGCCCTTCAGCCCAGATGTTCTCACTGACATTTTTGAACTCTTTACCAAAAGCTTTTCTTATTCTAAGCCACTTGATGATGAGTGGCAGTTACCAGATCCCATCGAGGTTTTCACTTGTGACCACACAGAATTTAATGCATTTCTTGACTTGAAGAATTCCCTAAATGAGGTGAAAAACCTCCTGAGTGATAAGAAATTGGACGAGTGGCACCAGCACACCACTTTCACCAATAAAGCAGGGAAAATCATTTCTCATGTGAAAAAAACTATGAACGCCGAACTGTGTACTCAAGCCTGGTGCAAATTCCATGAGATTTTGTGCAGCTTCCCACTTATTCCACAGGAAGCTTTTCAGAATGGAAAACTGAATTCTGTACACCTTTGTGAAGCTCCTGGAGCTTTCATAGCCAGTCTCAACCATTACTTAAAATCCCATCGGTTCCCCTGTGAGTGGACCTGGGTAGCTAATACTCTGAACCCATACCATGAAGCAAACGACAATCTTACCATGATTATGGATGACCGACTTATTGCAAATACCTTGCACTGCTGGTACTTTGGTCCAGATAATACTGGTGATATCATGACCCTGAAATATTTGACTGGACTTCAGGATTTCCTAAGCAGCATGGCTACCGTTCACTTGGTCACTGCAGATGGGAGTTTTGATTGCCAAGGAAACCCAGGTGAACAGGAAGCTTTAGTCTCCTCTTTGCATTACTGTGAAGTTGTCACTGCTCTGATCACTCTTGGGAATGGTGGCTCTTTTGTTCTAAAGATGTTTACTTTGTTTGAACATTGTTCTGTTAACCTGCTGTACCTGCTGAATTGCTCCTTTGACCAAGTCCATGTTTTCAAACCTGCTACCAGCAAGGCAGGAAACTCGGAGGTCTATGTGGTGTGCCTCCATTATAAGGGAAAGGAGCCCATTCATCCTCTGTTATCCAAGATGGTGCTGAATTTTGGGACTGAGATGACCAGGAAAGCACTCTTTCCCCACCATGTGATTCCCAAATCTTTTCTTAAACAGCATGAAGAGTGTTGTACATTCTTTCATAAATACCAGTTAGAGACTATTTCTGAGAACATTCGTCTGTTTGCGTGCATGGGAAAAGGGGAACAAGTGAAACTGAATAACTTAAGGGATTGTGCTGTGCAGTATTTCATGCAGAAACTTCAACTGAAGCCTCTTTCTAGAAATAACTGGCTTGTTAAAAAATCTAACATTGGTTGTAGTACAAATACAAAATGGTTTGGACAGAGGAACAAATATTTTAAAACCTATAATGAAAGGAAGATGCTGGAAACTCTTTCATGGAAAGATAAAGTAGCCAAAGGATACTTCAATAGTTGGGCCGAAGAACATACTGTCTATCATCCTGGGCAAAATTCTCTGTTAGAAGGATCAGCTTCGAATCTCGAGTGTCACTTATGGCATATTTTAGAAGGAAAGAAACTGCCAAAGGTAAAATGTTCTCCTTTCTGTGATGGTGAAATTTTAAAGACTCTTAATGAAGCAATCGAAAAGTCCTTAGGGGAAGCTTTGGATTTGGATTCCAAGCTTAGGCCAAAGCAGCAATGCTATTGTTGCCACGTACTTTCAGAGGAACTGGTATTTTCCGAGTTGTTTAGCCTTACCCAGTGCCTTCAGGATGAGCAGGTTGTAGAACCCAGCAACCAGGTAAAGTGCCTGCTTGTGGGTGCACCCACTCTCTGTGATGTCAGGATGCATATGCCACTGGAAGTCCGACTCCTGGAATCAGTTGAACTCACGGCTTTCAGCTGTTCATTGCTTCATGATGGAGACCCAGCTTACCAGCGTTTGTTCTTGGACTGCCTTCTACATTCATTGCGGCAACTTCATACGGGAGATGTCATGATTTTGCCCGTACTTTCTTGTTTAACAAGATTTATGGCTGGCTTAATATTTGTCCTCCACAGTTGTTTCAGGTTCATCACATTTTCTTGTCCCACGTCCTCCGAGCCCCTGAGGACCTGTGCTGTCCTGCTGTGTGTTGGTTATCAGAACCTTCCAAAGCCAGTTCTCCAGTACCTACAGAATGTGAATGAGTTGCTGAGCGCCTTGCTCAGCTCTAATGCCCCCCAGCAGGTTTTGCAGTTTGTGCCGATGGAGGTGCTCCTTAAGGGGGCACTGCTTGATTTTTTGTGGGATCTGAATGCCGCCATTGCTAAAAGGCATTTGCATTTGATTATTCAAGGAGAGAGAAGAAATGAACAGCCTTGAGTTATGAAATTGAATGTGTCCTTGCTGAGATTCAGTTTTGTGACTTAATAGTTTCTGATTTTATGGCATTTGCCTACTCTATTTATTTAATACCTTTTTGTTTTGGAGAAATGTCAATTTTTATATCAAAGGACATTACAGAAAATCAGCTCCTAATCTGAAGGGTACACATACTCATAGTGTTCTTCCTTATGGTAGGAACCATGCGGTGGTGGTGGTCAGCCTCTAATCATGAGACGTCTGCATGTGCTTGGGGTGAAAACAGCCATGCTTGCACATGCAGTTGAGTTGGTTTTTATCTGCTGAAGATTTGCTGTTGTGCCTTCATTCGGACTTTTCTTTCCCCAAGTAACTCCCCTCCTTGGCTAATGCTGTTAATGCTGTTAATTGGTAGAGGTCATTCGTGAGAGGATGCTGGTCACTCCTTGGCAACAGTATTTACTTGAGAGCATTTAACGTGTCATTATGGATGTCAGGGAACTTTGTTACCAGATTTCTTGGTATGTGCCATTCATTGCCTTAGGATCAGTGGCTCCATTTTCTTTTGATTCAAATGAAACTACTGTGCTCTTGTGTGACCATTTTACTATAACCATCCAACTAATAACAGGACAGCTTTAAGCCAAAGATTATTTTGAAACAATGAAGATGTGTGTCTAGTTCTCTTGTATCATGAAAACTTCATTTAGAAATGTTGTAATTTTTAACACCCAGGAAACAATGGATGGAAAGATTTCTGAGTTTGAAGGCTTCACATACCATCTTTTATGGGAACATAGGGTGTGATGAACGTAGTGAATACTGAAGGAAAGAAATGTGACGCTTCTGACACTTACAGATCTTTAATCTACACTGATTTCTTTCAATATGAAAACAGCATTTTACCAAGATTGTCCATGAGATGGCTGTTTATCAATTATATTTCATTTCTTTAGAGTTATATGTATTTAAATGTGTAATGAGCTCTTCTGGCAAGTGATTCTTAGTTACCTTGAAGTTCCATAAAGTAGATAATAATTATGTCTCACTCATGAATTTTTGAGTATTTTTGTTATAGGAGCAGTAGAAGCATTCTGTGATTTATTTGGTTAATATGAATTTGAATTCTTTTCATGTTCTTTGGTATTTTTGTATTCCATTATAATTCATGAATAAAGTCTTTAGCAGACTTATTTTGTGTTCATCTCCTTAAAAGAGGACCATGAGGTAAGCCAAAATAGAACTTGGAGACTTTTTTTTTTACTTGTCATTTAAAAAAAAATATTTATTTTATTCTGTGTGTATGAGTGTATTGCCTGCATGTATGTAAGTGCACCTGTGTTGCACAGTTCCTTTGGAGGTCAGAAGAAACTTGGATTCCCTGGAACTGGAGTTACGGGACAGTTGTTAGCTGCCATATGGGTACTGGAAATCGAACCCCAGTCCTCAGCAAGAGCAGTCAGTGCTCTTAACTGCTGAGCCATCTCCCCAGCCTCGAACTTACAGACATTTAAAGGCAAGGCTGACTGGGCGTTATTGTGCCTTAATTTTCTTTGATTTGTATTTGTTAAAATTCCTTAAATATAATATTTATGGGAAATCTTAATGAAAGCATTTACATATTTTAGGAGTTGGGGAAGGGACAACATGGTCTGAAGGTAAATTCCTGAATGTGTATCTGACAGAAACCTCTTTTCCTCCTAGCAGCTTTGTGGGAGTGGTTCTAGTTAGTTGAAGTCTAACAGGAAATTTGTTACCAAGAGAAAAACTGCTCTTGGAAACCATTTTGCCCTTAATAGTCTTTATGCCTTGTTAGCAATAATATTTATCTTACTTGTTTTTACTGTTTAATTAGAATATATTTGAAAATTTAAGTTTAGGTGCTGATAATAAAACTTGCTTTTTTAAATTGTATGTGTGTGTCTGTGTCTGTGTCTGCATGTATGCACATGAATGTGTGGGTGCTCACAGAGGCCAAGAGGCCTGAAGAATGTTGGATCCTCTGGAGTTGCAGTTATTGACAGTTGTGACCCACTTGACGTGGGTGTTGGGAACAGAATTCTAGGCCTGCAGGAGCAGGAAGCACTCAACTAGTAAGCCATCTTCTGGCCCCTAAAACTTATATTCTAAGACCATCAAAGGAAGTGCTATGTTTTTTTAAAAATTAATTTGTATCAGTATATAACATTTGAACACACTAGAATATTATACATGATAATTTAAAGTTTTTAAATTTTTTAAAGTTATTGAGAATGTCATAGATGCATATAGTTTTTTTTTAAAATCAAATCCATGCCCACTCTCGTCCAGTTCCTCCCATATCTCCTCATCACTTTCTGATAACTTCATGTACTCCTTTATTATTTTTTTAATGGGGCTTTTGGCTACTCTAACATTTCCCCCTCTGAAGAGGTAACCCTAAAATCTTTTAAGGATTAGGTAAAAGCTCCCAAATATTTTTGACATTTTTGGCCTTTGGAACAGAGTAGGTTGCTAAGAGGCCCAAGGACATTGTGAGTTTTAGACAAGAAACTGGCTACTTTTCTTGGGGTCTTTTTACCCTAACTGCCTAGCCAATTCCTACCTCCTAGTCTTACCACACCATGCCCTGAAGAGGTTACCCAAATTGCCAATAGGGAATCAGGACACAGACCACTCTGGCTTCTTCCATGCTGAACAGGGATGCAGGTTGAGGCAATTGGAGGACCCCTTCATTCAGTGGGTCTAAAAGACTCCCAAATTGCATAACTCTTATCTCTAGTGGGAAAAGAAAGCCCTTGAATCGTGAATACGAGATGTGGAGACGTAAAGGCAAGAGTAATTAGCATTACAAGTTCTAAATAGGGAACTAGAGAAAAGAACAGGGCAATTTTCAAATGTTCCTATGAGAGTCCATTGGAATTTCTTGACAAGGGCTTCCAAAAGCATCCCTCTATTGGGTTCCTCATTTTTCTTTTGTCTTCCAAGGCTGGGCTGATGGATTCAGGATTTGCTTTCAGGTATTTTGATAGCTGTTGGAGTGGCTAGAATCAGTGTCAGTTCCCTCTCAAAGGCTTCTAGATAGGAGGAGAAAACAAATTTATCCATTTTAGAACAATAACTGGTTGTCTCCCTTAGCTACATGTGGGTAGTACAGTATTGGAGACCAAGACTTGAAGGCTTACATCTGAGCAATACTTTCTGGTTAGGAACAAAATCATCAATGAGAAATAATTGTCTAAATAACTTTTTGTATAGACTTAAGCCTAATGTCTGGGAAGTATAATCCCTTGAACTCTTAAAGAAATATACTGATGACTTTACTCTTTGGTTATACTTTCCTTTTGGGTGTTTAAGACCATACAGTTGGCCCAAATAAATCGTTTATTTTTACACTTAGGGTCATTTGAGGATCTGTTCCTCAGGGGTCATATGGGCTTGGGAGGAGCTCCTGGCTCCTTTTACCAGTTCCATCTATGTGAAGATAAGTCAAAGGTCTGGCTCGACCATGTCTGGCTTTGCTTGGGAGCATGAATGAGATGTTTCCTCTGAGTTGATCTCTGTAGACTGGACACTGTTTCAAGTCCATTTTATGGGGTCTCCATGTCTTCCCTGAATAAGAGGACAGGTGACTCACCACAGTTACAAGACATTTTGAGAGATGTTCCATGGTCTTCTGGAACTTAGTCAACCTTGGAGGGCAAGGGGCAAAAACTGTCCTTTAATTCCCTCTGACCACATTAATATAGGCCTCAAACTATGGCTGTTAAACATCCAACAAGGTTAGTTCCACCAGTCTGGTACTTTCAGTTATGATAATTAAAACGTTTATTGAGCTTTTGTACATTTCATACAACAGTTTTTAATCAAATTTAGGCCCTGCATCCCCCATCCATAACCCCCTCAACCCCCCCCACCAGATCTCATGTGTTCTGCCATATGTTGTCTTAGCCAATCAAGCATTTGTACCCAGGTGTCCTTTTTTTTTATTCATTTTTTATTTTATGTGTGTGAATGTTATGCCTGCATGTAGGTAAGTGCACCTGTGTTGTGCAATACCTGCAGAGGACAAAAGAGGCTGTTGGATCCCCTGGAACTGGAGTTCAGGACAGTTGTTAGCTGTCATGTGGGTGTTGGGATTTGAACCCAGGTCTTCTGCAAGAACAGTCAGTGTTCTTAACCACTGAGTCATCTCTCCCATCCCACCCCCAGGTGTCCTTTAATAATAATTTTTTAACATAGGTTTTGGAATTAGTTGTCATTTATCAATATCTTTTAAAAATTCAAATGCTGTCCAACTGAGAGGTGGCTTGAGAAATATTCATACTGACCTGGATGGCAAGAACCATACATTAAATTTTTTTGAAATTATCTTTATGTGTATGATTGTATTGCTTGCATGTGTTTTAAGTATGCCTGTGTTGTGCAGTGCCCCAGCAGGACAGAAGAGGGCGTCAGATTCCCCTGGAACTGAAGTTACAGATGGTTGTTAGCCGCCATGTGGGTGCTGGGAATCAAACCTAGGTCATCTGCAAGAGCAGCCAATGCTCCCTTAACTGTTGAGCCATCTTTCCAGCCCAAGTACCATGTTTTTAAGAATTTCCCTGGCCAAAGAGAAGGAACATGGGATCTAAAGAAGGAAAAAGTAGTTTGTCTTTTTTGTTGTTGTTATTTTGTTTTGTTTTGTTTTAGCTGAGGACCAAACCCAGGGCCTTCTGACAGCCTCTTCTGTCTTCTGCAGGCATTGCATAACATGGGTGTACTTACCTACATGCAGGCATAACACTCATACACATAAAATAAAAATTACAAAATAGAGCTGGACGTGATGGCGCATGTCCTTTAATCCCAGCACTCGGGAGGCAGAGGCAGGTGGATCTCTGTGAGCTTAAGGCCAGCCTGGTCTACATAGCAAGTTCCAGGACAGCCAAGGCTACAGGGAGACCCTGTCTCAAAAAAAAGACCCCCCTCCCAAATTACAAAATATTTAAATAAAGGAAAAAGTAAAAGATAATAAGATGTAAGTGATGACATGCATTATTTATCAAGCTAACATGTTATTTTTAAAATTTTCCATAGCTCCCTTGAGAATTTTAATTGTGATGATTTTTGGAAAGAATTTAGAAGCTAGAAAACATAAACTTCACAAATGTGTTTCCTGAAAAGTTAGGTAAGAAAAAGTCTTTAGAAATTTTATTTTGTCTCTATTAAAAGTGTATTAATGGGAACTTTGATCTAATGCCACTCAAATCAGTGAAAATGGTTTTTCTGGGCTGGGGAAATGGCTTAATGGGTAAAGGCACTTTTTGCCAAGCCTTGAAGACCTGAGTTCAATCTCTCTGTGGAAGGGGAGAACCCATTCCTGCAAGCTGTCCTCTGACCTACATATACACACTGACACACACATGCACACACACACACACACACACACACACACACTAAATGTTAAAAAGTCTTCTAAAAAATCAAAACCCAAATTTGTGTACTAATGTTCATCTTCAAATTTGGGGGGTGAACCAGGTGTGGTGGCACAGGCTAGGTAGGCAGAGGCAGGCAGGTCTCTGAGACTTGAGGCTATCCTCATCTACGTAGTGAGTTCCAGGCCAATTAGGGAAACTGCAGGGAGAGCCTGTCTCAAAAAACACACAAATTTGGCAAGAAGTTTGAGTTTGGTTGGGAGAGGGAGAGATAGCTCAGTTGGTAAAGTGTTCGCCTTGCAATGAAATTTGTGTTTGGTTCCCAGAACCCATATTAGAGGGTGGAGGTTTGTGCTTGTAATTCAAGCACAGGGGATGTAGAGTCAGTGGATCCCTAGGCTCACTGGCCAGCCAGCCTAGCCCACTGGGTGAGTTCTAGGTTAGTGAGAGACCCCGTTTCAAAACACAAGATGGAGACAATTGATTAAGTAGTGTTATCTGGGCAAACGAATAGCTCCTCTTATCTCAAACCTACAAACTGTCACTGGCATGTACACTGAACTACAAAAATAGCCCTTTCATAACTCTGATAAGCAGCCACCAACTATACCTCAGGGTGCAGTTTCAAGTCCCCAAGGAGGAACTGTTGCAAAGAACAATCTGCTCCTGGGAAAGAAAGCAAAAACAAAACAAGTTGGGCAGCTCCTGAGAGATGACACTTGAAGTTGTCTGGCCTGTGTGAGAACCAAAGGGCACACACATACACATGAGATTAAAAATTTTGTTAAAAGAAATTTGTACTTTTTCCTATATGGTTAAAAAACAGAGACTATATTCTGGATGTTAAACCTCTGCCAGATGTGTCACTGGTGAAGATTTTTCGCATTCTGGGTTTTCACTTTCTTATTTCTTTTGCTATAAAGAAGCTTTTTAGTTTAATGAAGTTCCACTTGTTGATTGTTGACCTTAATTCC